TACAGCTTCGCCATCTGCATTTTCAGGGTCTGCGTGGATGCTACAATCTGCTTAGTATTTGCGTAACTGCTTTTTCTCCTCTCATGTCCCCACTGCATTTTTTGTTATTTGAGCAATAAAAAAGGAATTTCTGTAATGCAGCGTGAATTTATCCTGTGTTTTTATCTGCAGCAGTGTTGTTCAGGAATTGGCCGAATGTCACGGCTAATTGTGAAGGGGCTGCCCTCGAACTGTACGGAGGAGAAGCTGCGCGCTCATTTCGGCTGTTTCGGATGCATCACCGACTGCTCGCTGAAGTACACAAAAGAGGGCAAATTTCGTCGATTCGCTTTCATCGGATTTGAAAACGACGAGAGCGCTCGGGCAGCACGCCAGCAACTGCACGGCACATTTCTCGGCCCCTCGCGACTAATGGTATTCATTTTTTCTCCCGGTACAGCATCATTTTGTGTCTGTTGAAGTGTTTCCTCTTGTGAAATGTTTCATCCTGTATGTATGTGTGTGTATGTATATGTGAATGTGCGTATGTATGTATGTGTATATATATGTGTATGGATGTATGTGCATATGTATGTGTGTATGTATATGTGTGTGTGCGTGTATGTATATGTGTGTATGCGTGTGTGTGTGTGTGTGTGTGTGTATGTGCGTATGTATACGTTTTTAGTTCTGCCGGGAATCTATTCGTAATTTTTGTCACTGTTTTATGAAATTAGGGGTAAAAAAGGAGCTGAAAGTTTTTTTTTGATGTATTGTACAAGGTGAGGGGGAAAAAAGAGCCGAAGAATGGAAGCTAAGTTCATGGGGATTGGGTCCGGAAATCCCTAGCTCTGTATTAGTGCGGTAAAGGACTGTCATCAGTCTTTGAACTTCATAGAATAATTTGGCTTTTCTGAGAGGCTGTTTTCAGGTGGAAGAATGCAAGCCGTTTGGCGACGAATCGAAGCCACGTGCCTGGAGCAAATATGCTAAAGAAAGCAGGTAATACTCTAGAAAAGGCTGAAAGAAAATTTTGTTGAAAAATATAAGAAAGGATGATAGAAAAGATAAAAAAGAAAGGATGTGAAAAAGAAGTATTAAATTAGGTGAGAAATGTCTCAGTCCATTAAGTCGTATACATTTCTTACCAATACCACAATTGGACCTCGTCAATGCGACGGCTGTGCTAACAGTATAATTAAGAGTATAATTATGAGTAAGAATTAATTAAGATGAAAAGGATATAGATGATAAGGATGTTGAGGATGTAATTTGGAAGAAATTAAATAAGTAGTAGAAGAAATGGAAACTCTTAAAGAGATTGGGGAAAAGGTAAAATAAAATAAAAAGCTGTAGTCTTGGAAATAAATAAAACTAATTGCCTGCCTGCTCATTACTCGTTAAATCCATAATTTGTTGCCTTGTTTTATATAATTAATAGAATCAGTAGCAGGATGAATAATTCTACAGTAAGTGGGTATTTTTAATAAGTGGGTATGTCTGTTTGCTGTGTGATATCTTGTTACTTGATCCGTTGCTGCTTCATGTTGATGTTTTCAGAAAACTTGCTAAAATTTTCAGTGCCTACAAGCGTCTGCATCCTGAAACTGAGGAAGAGCTTGCTGCATCGCCAAAAAGTAGCCGTCCAACTTCCAAGAAAGCCAAAAATGTGCATGAATTTCAAGAAGCAACTTCTGAAGTTTGTTATTTTTGCACAGTTTCAAAAGCGCCCTGATAGAAATCATGATTTTTTTTTTTGTTCACAGTCTATTTTTGTTTGGTGTTGTGGTAAACAGAAAACTTTGCTGGATGCACTCGGAGGGTAGCGGTAAAAATCGATGGGTTGATTCAGTCAGTGAGAAAATGTTTGATGGTAAATTGGTACTGGCATGTGCTGTTAGATTGGAACTTCCATCGTCCTATTTCTGCGATATTCTTGGCCATGAATGCCATCAGCAGCCTCGCGAACTGTAATCGCTGTTCAGTGTGTTTCGAGTTTGCTCTGCTTCTCTGTGCTTTGATTTTTCTTAGAGAATAGTTTTAATTATGATTATTTTTTAATTATGATTTCAAATTATGATTTTTAATTATGATTTTTTTAAATTATGATTTTTTAATTTTTAATTATGATTGTGCAGCATTTCAGGGCATTGTGCCAGCAGCACAGAGTAGCCGGCATTCCTTGATCAATGAACTACTCAGCGACATAAAAGGTTGGTCTTGCTGAAATGGTATCAGATGAATTATTGTAAGAGCCTGGAACTGAATGGTACCTTTTGGACATCTACTGGAGCAACAAAATTTGTTACTCGACCAATGGTAAAGAGCGCATAATGAAATAATAGGATTTTATTTTTTTATGCTTATTTTTAGGACCTCTTAAAGCCATCATTGCTCTTGGATAATATAAAATTTAAGCATTTTTTTGGCTGATTTTTTAGGCCAAGAAATGCTATATTCAGCTGTTTTTTTTTATCGTAATTTTCTTCCTCTGGAAGTTGGCAACTGTTCTGTTGTAGTAATACTGTATTAGCAGGCATCGTCAGGGTACTTCAGCATTATTCACTAACCGTCGTAGGCCGTTGTTTAGCAAGAAGTCTTCGATTATCGTTGCTCTGCGTTTACTGAATTTTCTGTGTGCACTAGTCGCATTTTTCCAACACTATGTTATTAGACAGTGCCATTTACCAAGTATTACTTTCCCCTTCCAGTTAAACGATAAAAGTTTAAATCTCTAATTTAAACCCAACTGTCCAATCCTACTTCGATCTCCTAATCGATTTTTTTTTTTTTTTTTAAGCCGGGAATTCTGTTTTATCCTTTCTTGAGATGTCGCAGTTCATCCC